AGGCAGGCTGAGGCTGAGGCTGAGGCAGGCTGAGGCTGAGGCTGAAGGCAGGCTGAGGCTGAGGCTGAGGCAGGCTGATGCTGAGGCAGGCTGAGGCTGAGGCTGATGCAGGCTGAGGCTGAGGCAGGCTGAGGCTGAGGCCGAGGCTGAAGGCAGACTGATGCTTAGGCTGAAGCAGGCTGAGGCTGAGGCTGAGGCAGGCTGAGGCTGAGGCTGAGGCAGGCTGATGCTGGGGCAGGCTGAGGCTGAGGCTGAAGCTCATGCAGAGGTAGGCTGAGCAGGCTGAGGCTGAGGGCTGAGGCTGAGGCTGAGGCTGAGGCTGTGACTGCGACTGCCGTTGCCACTGCGACTGTCATCGCGTATGCGACTACGACTGCGAGAACAGCAGAATTCTACAACTGGATTCTCATCTGAATCTTAAGGGGAATGCTTCCAGATATGCTCCTACACATCGCTGTTAGGTTGCATTGCCGGGATCATATTTAACTTTCGTCTTCGTCTAAGATCCGCCTGTAGGGGGACATGCCCGACTCGAAGCTGGCACCAAATAGGTTCCAGGCTCCGGGGGGGGGGGCGGGCGGGGCCAGGACGAGGATTCATCCGTTCCAGAGCGTTCCCAGAGCGTCTTCTCAGAGTGTTCCGGAACGCTCTGAGAAGGCCGCGGCGCCCGAGGCATCCTCCAGAGCACCCCGGACAAGCAGGGGCGGCGCTTCCAGGTTTTCACTCGGCGAGCGCCTGTCGTCGCGCCGCGCGCGCCGAGCGCACGCCAGTGAATGGCTCAAGTCCAGCGGGCCAAGATACTGCAAGGCTGAAGTCGAGCCTGCCCCTCCGCAGGAGGAAGATGCAAAAACAGTATAAGAATAATCCGGGGACGATTTTTCTACCATTTTTGAGCATCTCGTGCGCCGCCCTGTGCGCTTCCAGGCTTCGGCGCGCCTGCCCGTCCTGTGCGCTTCCCGGGTGGCCGGGGGGGGGGGGTCTCGGCCGGAGGGCGCCCGTGGCCGCCCCGTGCCTGCCTCGCGCGCGCGGGGCCGGCACCGCAGGGTGTTGCTGCGTGCAGCACGCGCAGCTCCCACAGCCTCCTCCTCCTCCTCCTCCTCCTCCTCCTCCTCCTCCTCCTCCTCCCTCCTCCTCCTCCTCCCTCCTCCTCCTCCTCCTCCTTCAAATGTGCACGGGAATCGACGTCGGCCCTGCTAACGTATTGCGCGATTCGGTCTGCCTCACAGCCTGCACCGCATACACAGACTGCTGTACGTCGCGTGCTCCGCATGTGTACCTACACCACCACCCTTCGGGTTATAAGGAGGTGGAGGGGGGAGGAGGAACCAACGTGTCACTCAATACATCTCGCGATCGATCCCACTATCGATCTCACTATCGATATCACTCGATCGATCTCACTATCGATCTCACTATCGATGTCACAATCGGTCTCACAACCGATCTCATTATCGATCTGATTCAGTCGATCTCACTATCGATATCACTATCGATCTCACATTCCGTTTCACTATCGATCTCACAATCGATCGCACATTCGGTCTCACATTCGGTCTCATTATCGTTCCCACTATCGATCTCACCATCGATCCCACATTCGGTCTCATAATCGATCTCACTATCGACCGCACTATCGATCTCACTATCGATCTCAAGATCGATCTCACAATCGATCTTACCATCGACCCCACAATCGATCTCACTATCGATCTCACTATCGATCTCACATTCGGTCTCACTATGGAACTGACGATCGATATCACAATCAATCTCACAACCGATCTCACAATCGGTCTCACTATCGATCTTTCAATCGATCTCATAATCGGTCTCACTATCGATCTCACAATCGATCTAACTATCGATCTCACAATCGATCTCACAATCGATCTCACTATCGATCCCACTATCGATCTTACATTCGATGTCACAATCGATCTCACTTTCGGTGTCACTATCAATTTCACGATCGATCTCACTATCGATCTCACTATCGATCTCACTATCGATCCAACATTCGGTCTCACATTCGGTCTCACAATCGATTCCACTATCGATCTCACCATCGATCTCACTATCGATCTCACTATCAGACTATGGATCTCACAATATATCTCACTATCTATCTCACTATCGATCTCACATTCGGTCTCACTATCGATCTCAATCGATATCACAATCGATCTCACAATCGATCTCACATTCGGTCTCACTATCGATCTCACTATCGATCTCACTTTCGATCTCACTATCGATCTCACGATCGGTCTCTCAGTCGATCTCACTATCGATCTCACGACAGGACACCGACGGGACACCGACGGGACACCGACGGGACAATGGCGGGCCACCGACGGGACAATGTGGGCTACCGCTTGACAACGCCGGGGGGGGGGGAAACATTTGTGTTGGCGGACCCCTAGCGACAGCAGAGTGAATTCCTCTCGCCCGCCCACGCAGCTTCGCCTCGACCGCACGCACGACACGAACACGAAACCGAAACCGATTTCCCGGTGGGGGGCTCTCCGTTCCACTTCGATCTCACCCCCTCACCTCCGAATTATATAGATAGATTGTGAGAGAGAGAGAGAGAGAACAAACCCAAAAAAGAGAGATTGACTCCCCAGCTTGCGTCACATAGTTTGCACCCCATGGATTGGATTGCGCCCCACATCTTGTACCAAGTAGATCGCGCCACGTAGCTTGCACCACGTAGAGACTGGACAGTACAGACCGCACCGAGTATATGATATCCCATCTGTGTATGTTGCCCCATTTTAGAGGGGCCATCGGAAACTCAAGAACCCATCGTTCGGGGTCCGCGCCGACACACTTTTCAATGATCTCTGGTTCCTGGACAAGTCATGCGGGGCGCTCCAGGGAACGCCTGGAAGCGCTCAAGATCGCCAGGATGCGCTCGGCGATTTGGGTGCTTAAGAGAAAAGGATTTACCATAGCCAGTACAGAAAGCTCGACGGGCGTTGTCGAAGACACCTCGTTCAGATCCTCGCAGAACGGTGGCGGTGTTGCCAGAGTCTCACCAAATCCTCATTCTTTTGGGTTCAAGCAGCCGCCTACCCAAAGTATTCATTGCGGTAGGACCTTCGTTAAAGTCGACGACATGCCAGAGCTGATGCGCGACAGGGGGATCGTGCTTTCCGCCGTTGCTCGGAATGGGCGTGCCTTGGAGTACGCAGGCCCAGAACTGCAGGCTGACAGGGAGATCGTGCTTTCCGCCGTTGCTCAGCATGGGCGTGCCTTGGCGTACGCAAGCCCAGAGCTCAAGCACGACAAGGAGATCGTGCTTTCCGCCGTTGCTCAGCATGGGGATGCCTTGGAGCACGCAAGCCCAGAGCTCAAGCGCGACAGGGAGATCGTGCTTTCCGCAGTAGCTCAGAATGGGCGTGCCTTGGAGTACGCAGGCCCAGAGCTCAAGCACGACAGGGAGATCGTGCTTTCCGCCGTTGCTCAGGATGGAGATGCCTTGGTGTACGCAAGCCCAGAGCTCAAGCACGACAGGGAGATCGTGCTTTCCGCCGTTGCTCAGGATGGGTATGCCTTGGAGTACGCAGGCCCAGAGCTCAAGCACGACAGGGAGATCGTGCTTTCCGCAGTAGCTCAGGATGGAGATGCCTTGGAGCACGCAAGCCCAGAGCTCAAGCACGACAGGGAGTTCGTGCTTTCCGCAGTGGCTCAGAATGGGCGTGTCTTGAAGTACGTAAGCCCAGAGTTCAAGCGCGACAGGGAGGTCGTGCTTTCCGCAGTAGCTCAGACTGGGCGTGCTTTGGAGTACGCAAGCCCAGAGCTCAAGCGCGACAGGGAGATCGTGCTCTCCGCCGTGGCTCAGAATGGGCGTGCCTTGGAGTACGCAGGCCCAGAACTGCAGGCTGACAGGGAGATCGTGCTCTCCGCCGTGGCTCAGAATGGGCGTGCCTTGGAGTACGCAGGCCCAGAACTGCAGGCTGACAGGGAGATCGTGCTTTCCGCCGTTGCTCAGCATGGAGATGCCTTGGTGTACGCAAGCCCAGAGCTCAAGCACGACAGGGAGATCGTGCTTTCCGCCGTTGCTCAGGATGGGGAAGCCTTGGAGCACGCAAGCCCAGAGCTCAAGCACGACAGGGAGTTCTTGCTTTCCGCAGTGGCTCAGAATGGGCGTGTCTTGAAGTACGCAGGCCCAGAGCTCAAGCACGACAGGGAGATCGTGCTCTCCGCCGTGGCTCAGCATGGAGATGCCTTGGTGTACGCAAGCCCAGAGCTCAAGCACGACAGGGAGATCGTGCTGTCCGCCGTTGCTCAGGATGGGTATGCCTTGGCGTGGGCAAGCCCAGAGCTCAAGCGCGACAGGGAGATCGTGCTGTCCGCCGTTGCTCAGCATGGACATGTCTTGTGGTACGCAAGCCCAGAGCTCAAGCACGACAGGGAGTTCGTGCTTTCCGCAGTGGCTCAGAATGGGCGTGTCTTGAAGTACGTAAGCCCAGAGCTCGAGCACGACAGGGAGATCGTGCTTTCCGCAGTGGCTCAGAATGGGCGTGTCTTGAAGTACGTAAGCCCAGAGTTCAAGCGCGACAGGGAGGTCGTGCTTTCCGCAGTAGCTCAGAATGGGCTTGCCTTGGAGTACGCAGGCCCAGAGCTCAAGCGCGACAGGGAGATCGTGCTTTCTGCAGTAGCTCAGAATGGGCGTGCCTTGGCGTACGCAAGCCCAGAGCTCAAGCGCGACAGGGAGATCGTGCTCTCCGCCGTGGCTCAGCACGGGCATGCCTTGCAGTTTGCCGCAGTAGGTGCTCTGGTCGACAGGGAGATAGTTCTCACTGCAGTTTCCCAGGATGAAAGCGCGCTCTCCTTGGCGGCCGGTGCCTTAAAACGCGACAGAGCGTTTGTGGCAGCGCTGGCAACTCATGTCGATAATGTGGATTTGCTGCAGTGGGCTGATGCCGCACTTCGTAGCGACTCGATCTTTTGCAGCTGGGTGCGTCGCGCGCAACATATTGCAGTCGAGAAACGGCGCGCATCTGACGCGGAGTCTCGCGCCCTTGAAGACAGTCTTCGGTGCAAAGAGGCGGCCATCAAGGAGCTCCAGGATGCGTTCGCCTCGTTGGCGGATCGTTTCTCAACCGAGGTACGGACCCTCACGGATAAGCTTCAGCGCCAGGAGAAATCGATCGAGGAGATGAGTCACCGCTTTGCTGGTTCCGCATCTGGTCATACGCCAGCTTTGGATTTCATGAAGTTCGTGGATGTTCTGCCAGGTGCACAGGATGTAGCTGATCTAACGGGCTTCGCCCACCGCCGCTTGTCCCCCAAGTGCCCAGAGTGGCTCCAAGCAGAAACAACTATAGCCGCAGAAAGAGGAGGAGGTGGAGGCGATGCGATGATGAGTAGGAGTGTGGGCGACGAGTGTTCTGGAAAGCGAAGAGGAGGGAGCAGGGGAGAGGAGGAGGAGGAGGAGGAGGAGGAGGAGGAGGAGGAGGAGGAGGAGGAGGAGGAGGAGGAGGAGGGGGAGGGGGAGGGGGAGGAGGAGGAGGACGAGGAGGAGGAGGAGGAGGAGGAGGAGGAGGAGCAGCAGCAGGCATCTCCACATGCCCAGCTCGTTTTGTAATGTTCGGCAGGGGCTGCACGCAAGGGCTGCTGAGAAATCAGTCTAGGGCCATCGTCACTTCGACTTCGCGGGGAATATCGATCGTTTTGGGGGCGATACTGGAACTTCGGGGAGGCCTTATCATGCCAGGTGGGGCCATCCCGAGGCAGCATTGGGTACTGCGGGGCCTCTGGATGTCAGATTGAAGCGATATTGGGCCAGGTTGGACACTGTCACGACCCACGCTGAGCCTCTGGGGCAATGCCGGGGCCTCTCAGGAGCATCTGGTTCTGCTGAGCAGTGCTGGACGGCCTTGGGGGATGTCTCGTTGCCTCCTGAGGCCGCTCTCGGTCAAGTGTGTGGGGCAGTCGGTGGGTCATCTCAGAGTCTTTCAGGGTCACTGTGGGTCCAAGCGAGGCGACAGACCATCCGAGTCGCATTCTTTTCCTAAGTTTGTGGTCCCAGCAGACCGCGTCGAATGTTGTTTGGAATGGTTGGGGAATTCATCGGGCCTGAATGCAACCATGTCTCGCCATCGCGGGACCCTTTGTGAGCACCGCGGGGGCATGAGGGGCACTCGTGCGACGTCTTGGAAACAACGCAGGCTACAGGCTTCGAAAAGTTGTCAGATTAGAGCGGTTGAGGTTGCATATGGTGTTTGCTATGATGCTTTGTCCGTGGTCTGGTCGCTCGTTCTGTCGCACTTCTTTTTTCACTTCCGTAGGAAAGCACAATGGGCTGTTAACTGGCATGGGCCCGCAAACATGTTTTCATGCATACGGGAATGCGCATGCAGTCATAATGTGCGCACGCATGCAGACGGCGCCGGTGAGGAAACTTGGGCAGCGCAGCCTGCTGCCCCCTCGAGGGTGCCAGCGGGTTTCTTGAATATTGTCCCGTCGCTCCAACCATCAAGTGAGATTGATGCTCCAATTTGGGCATTGCGGTGGACTCACCGGAGCATCAATGCAAAACTTGCAGTTGGAGAAGATCACGACCATGCCCAGGAGTCGATTTGCAAGCTCTTCGAGCAACTCATGAGCGATCGAATCTCGCCCATGGAACTGACTGAGGAGGACCCACTGGATGTGTTCGTTCACAAAGGACCTGACGGCAAGATCGGCCTCTACAGCCGCCAAAACCGCCGGCTCACGGCACTTCTGCTGTTCCAGGCGTGCCGCCGGGACGAGACCCATCGAGCACGATGCATCGTGCGCAGTTCCACGGACGCCTACTGGAGTGGTCAGTGGAGGAATGGGTACGACCACGGCACTGGTTTGTCGATCCGCCCACGCCAGGCTCGAGCTGCTCGCGCCCATCACCGCGGAACTCTGCTTTTTGGTGATGGGGCGAGGTCGATCGCGGCCCTGCGGCGGGCGAGCGGGCGACGACACCCTCGCTGCAGAGGCGACGACGTCCATGCGGCCCTGGGGATGCTGCTGGAACGCGCCCACGTCCGACCCTCTGAGGCCGCAGGAGACGAGGACACCTTGACGTTTGCAAGTGGTGGCGCTGCGCCTCCGGCAGCTGAGTGGAGGTCCAGTGCCGACCGCAGCAGCCGCGGCAAAGGCAAGGGCAAAGGCAGCAGCAAGGGCGCTAGGGGCGGGCGACGACCCGAGGAATTACGGGGGCCAAGAATACACACCACCACCACCACCACCACCACCACCACCACCACCACCACCACCACCACCACCACCACCACCACCACCACCACCACCACCACCACCACCACCACCACCACCACCACCACCTTCCTCAACCCCTCCCTCTCCCAGGAAAGAGTAGGGGACGAGGAAAGTAGAGGAGGGAGGGGGAATGGAGGCGGTGGTGGTGGTGCCTAGTCGTGGGGCCCGCAGGAATGCGCGCAATGATGTCGGAGATTGAAGACGTCGACCAGTTGGACTTTGGCTCGCCGCTGGCCCAGCCCTGCCCCGCGGAGCGTGACGCGCCTGCGCCTGCGCACCGCTTGCCTGTGGGCTGCCGCCACCGACCGGCCGGCAGTGCGACGGTCGGCGACTGCAGAGGGTGTGGTGGTGTGGTCACGCCAGGGTCTGGTTTGCGATCGGCGCCGTTGGGGCTCAGATGGGGCTCACCGCATTGCGCCAAAGGAGGAGGAGGAGGAGGAGGAGGAGGAGGAGGAGGAGGAGGAGGAGAAGGAGGAGGAGGAGGAGGGGGAGGAGGAGGAGGAGGAGGAGGAGGAGGAGGAGGGGGAGGAGGGGAGGAGGAGGTTTAGGACCCTCGTCGGGGGCGCGGCGGAGATCCCCCCGGGGGGCCCCGCCTGCCCCCCCCCCCCCCCACCAGGCTTAAGCCGGGCCTGTCCCTCTGCAGGGGGAATATTCGAAAATGAAGATTTAAAATTTACCCCAGTGCGACCCTACCTAGAAGTTGGAGCCCCTAGGAAAACAGCATTAGTTGCTATGCTAGGCTTTGCTATGCCATGCTATGCTGCGCTGTGATATGCTGTGCTAAGCTGTGATATGCCATGCTATGCCATGCTATGCTAAGCTATGCTATGTCATGCTGCGCTGCGCTATATTAAGCTACGCTATGCTATGCTATGCTAAGCTGCGCTATGCTATGCTATCCTAAGCTATGCTGTGCTGTGCTATGCTATACTATGTTATGCTATGCTGCGCTATGCTATGTTATGCTATGCTATGCTATGCTAGGCTATGCTTGGCTATGATAGGATATGCTAATGCAGCGCTGTGCTATGCGAAACTAAGCTAAGCTAAGCTAAGATGAGATAAGCAACGCTAAGATGAGGGGACGTAACTGGGGGAACCGCGGGGCGGATACTGGGGGAACCGCCCGGGCCGGTTCCCACTGCCCGGCCCTTTAGGCAGAGCCTAGGTAGGAAATAGTAGGGGAACGATGTTTTCACGATTTTTTTGACTTGTGAGGGTATCTGTTGGGGTATTTAAAATTGTTCGTCCCAAATCCCCCTGTAGGAGGACATGCCCGACCTAACCCCAGGCGCAGGTTGCAAGCCACACCCTCTGCAAACTACTCCCTTCGGAGGCGCCGAGACGGCGGCCTCGTGCTCCCGACCGTCTTCTGCTACCGTCGACCCGCACGGTCAGGATGGGCACCCCCTTCCCAGGGGCACCCTTTCCTCGCCTCCTCGGTCCATCCTTGGCGACTCTCGCTTGCCAGCCTCGCTCGAACAACGTTATCGTGGCCCTCCGAGGCCCTTGCATCCTTACCGCGCATCCTTCTGATACGGGTTGACTGTACCTGCCAGGGCTGGACCTAAACGCTGTTTTGTTGGACTTCGGCTGTGTTTTCTTCTTCGTTCTGCCAGGGAGGCACAGGAAAGCAGGCCGAGCAGAACGAACAATAAAACGAAAACAGAACGAGAAACCACGCCCAGGTCCAGCCCTGGTACCTGCCAGCCCTGCCTGCGGCCACCCACGGTGCCGACCCCGACCACCGAGCGGCCGGCCGCTGCCGCAGGTGCCGCCTCTCGCGCCGGCGCCTCTCGTGCCCGCGCCCGCTGCGCCCGCGCAGGTGCTCGCCATGAAGAAACGCTCCGGAGCGGACGCTGGGTCGACTGAGAAAAGGCATGCAGTCAAGACGCTGGGAGAAGGGTCGCTTTGGGCTCAGGTCGGCGTCAACCCAACATACTTATACTATGTGTGCGTCGCCCCTCCAGGGGCGACGCGCGCACCGAGAAGTCTTATAGTATATCTGGCGTGGCGGGCGCTTTCTGGCCACACCGCTCGGGAAACGATATACTACAAGATGGGTACACAGTATGTTCGGGTCAGACACGCGCCTCCAAGGAGGACATATAGTATTAGCATGTCTCTGTGCGTCTCATCAGGAGGTGCTCGGGTTTTCGGGCCGGTCCTGAGGTGTCTGTGGTGGAGCCTGTTGTGCCCCCAGGTCCGCCGTGGCCATGCAGGCATGTTCGTTCCTTCTCAGCCGTTCCTTCTGGTAGCACGGCCATTCCAAGCGTGACATTTTCGGAACCCCGCGCGGATTTCTTGGCTCTGCGATGGGCGACCCTGGCGGCGCCGCCCCTGGCGCGCTCACAGGGGAGGGGGGTCCAGCGCCGACGCAAGAAATCCGCGCGAACCTCCGACAGTTTTTGATGATGCCGTTTTTCCTCCATCCACGGTGAGGACGTTAGGGCGAGGAGGAGGAGGAGGAGGAGGAGGAGGAGGAGGAGGAGGAGGAGGAGGAGGAGGAGGATGAGGAGGAGGAGGAGGAGAGGAGGGAGGAGGCGGAGGAGGGGGAGGAGGAGGAGGAGGAAGAGGAGGAGGAATCGAATGATGATGATGATGATGATGATGAGGAGGAGAGAGGAGGAGGAGGAGGGGAGGAGAGGAGGGGAGGAGGAGGAAGAGGAGGAGGCGGAGGAGGAGGAGGAGGCAGAGGAGGAGGAGGAGGAGGAGGAGGAGGAGGAGGAGGAGGAGGAGGAAGGAGGAGGAGGGAAGAAGGACGAGGGAAAGAGGGAGGGGCTCTGGCTTTCGGGCCGCTCCTTAGATCCCGGCCGCGGGACCTGCTCGAGGCGGAGGCCCAGAGGCCCACCGTGGCCGGGGCAGCCCCTCGGTTCCTGAGGCATCGCTCCCCGTGGCGCAGTCAACCCGCATAGGAAGGACGAGCCATTTTCCCAAAGGTATCCTCCTCCTCATCCTCCTCCTCCTCCTCCCTCCTCCTCCTCTCCTCCTCCTTCTTGGGCCTCCTCCTGGGCTTCCTCCTCCTCCTCCTCCTCCTCCTCCTTCTCCTCTTCTCCTTCTCTTCTTCTCCTCTCCTCCTCCTCCTCCTCCTCTCCTCCTCCTCCTCCTCCTCCTCCTCCTCCTCTTGGGCCTCCTCACTCCTCCTCCTCCTCCTCCTGTCCTCCATCCTCCTCCTCCTCCTCTCCGCCTCCTCCTCCTCCTCCTCCTCCTCCTCCTCCTCCTCCTCCTCCCCCTGCATCCTTGCCTCGTCGGTCCATCCTTGGCCACTTTCGGTAGCCGCGCCCCGCTCGAAACGCTGCGGAACGGCCTTCCAGGGCCCCTGCATCCTTCTCGGGCGTCCTTCTGGTGCGGGTCGACTGTAGCACGATGGCCCACGGCCCGATGGCTGTAGGCTGAGGGCGGTGGGGACCTGGGGCTCCCGCGGTGCGTTTGCCTCCCCCGTCTGGGCGCTGCCAGGGAGGCGTCCCTGGCCCGAGGCGTGTCCAGGAGCCTTCAGGAGCACCCCTCGCGAGAACCAGAGGGCCCCCCGGGGGCTCCCGAGGTGGCGCGGCAAGGTGGGGACACCTTTGGGCCAGGGCCGCCTCCAGCAACACCCGACCTGTGCCGCCTGTCGAGCGGCGTTTCTTCGCGGGGCTCCTGCGTGATCGGAGCACCGCGGGCGCGAGGGATGTGCGCGACACTGCGTTGATGTATTCCCTGGATTTTGAATTTGGGGCTCTTGTGATCCAGCCGTACCGGCGCAGCACCGACATGCTTGCAGGGCGGTGCTGCCGAGGTCTCCACAGGCGCGGCAGAGGGATCTGGGAGCCGTCTTGGAAGCGGTTCGCGGTGCTGTGGCGCAGCGCAGTTGTGGGCGTTACACGGTTGTTGGAGGCTCCGTGGGGACTCCTTGGGGTGTTCTTCGAAGCCTCCTGTAGGCATAGTTTTGGGGGGGTCTCTTGGGCTCGTTGTGGGGCGCGATAGTTATCTCCGGCCGTCTGGGCGCGTATTTGGACCGTCGTGGGGCCCTTTCGGGTTGTCTGCGGCCGTCTTGGAGGGGGTCCTCGAGCCGTCTGAGGGCCGTCGAGCAACTTGGAGCTGCTGAAAAGCATCGGAAACAACGTTCGGGTCATGCGGCCCAAGGGCGGGTCGCTCCTTAAAAACTGAAAGGAATGGTTTCCAGGCGCTCCGCGTAACCCCACCAACTGACCTCCGGCGTCTGCTTGTAGCACGACCTTTCTGACGCCGCGCGGGTGCCCGCTCGCGGTCGCGATCAAAAAATAACCCCACCAGCCCATCCAGAAACGATGCCCAGGCGAGTCGCCCTGATCAGGAGTGTGGAGGAGCATGCAGCGGAATAACGGGCTGGGGAAGCCGTCGTACCCAAAAGGCGGAGGATGGAGGAGGAATCGGAGAAGAAGGAGGAGGAGGAGGAGGAGAAGAAGGAGGAGAAGGAGGAGAAGGAGGAGGAGGAGAAGGATACTTAGGATGATGATTGTGATGCTGCTGCTGCTGCTGCTGCTGCTGATGATGATGATGATGATGATGATGATGATGATGATGATGATGAGGAGGAGGAGGAGGAGGAGGAGGAGGAGGAGGAGGAGGAGGAAGAGGATGAGGACGAGGGGAGGCGGAGGGGGAGGGGGAACAGAGAGGAGGGAGGAGGAGGAACAGGCGTAGGAGGAGGAGGAGGAGGAGGAGGAGGAGGAGGAGGAGGAGGAGGAGGAGGAGGAGGAACAGGCGGAAGAGGATGAGGAGGAGGAGGAGGAGGAGGAGGGCGGGCAGAATGGCCAGAGGTCTCTTGGATGCCTCTCGTAGTCTCTTCGGATGCCTCTCAAGTTTCTTGGAGTCCTCTTGGAGCGTCTTGGGGGCCTGGCGGTTCTGGGGGCATCTTGGAGCGTCGTGGGTTCCTCCCGGGAGCCTCTCGGAACCTCTTGTGGGTCTATTGGGAGCCTCTTGGCGACCTTTTGGGAGCCTCTTGGGGCCTCCTGGGCGCCTCTGGGGGCTATCTTGGAGCCATCCTGGAGGAGATCGATCAAAAAAGGGGGGATACTATTTTAGCCCCCTCTCAGGCGGCCAACATTGGCCTCACACACAGGTAAAACCAATGAGTGTTGCCTTCTCGCTGAGGCCGTCTTGGACGCTTCAATGGGTCGCGGACCCCCCCGCCAGGTCCACGGGAGAGGGTGTTGAGGGAGGGGTAA